CAAGAAAGTTGTACTGACAAACTTGGCCATTTTTGCCCAGCCCTTTGGATTACATACACGAGGGAGGAGTGCATATGTGGGAGAGGGAGAAGGAAGGAAGAGAGGGAGGGAGGGAGGGAGGAAAGAAGGAAAAAAAGGAAGAAAGGAAGGAAGGAAGGAGAGAAGGGAAGAGAAAGGAAGGGAAGGAAAGGGAAAGGAATGAAGGAAAGAAGGAAGGAAGAAAGAAAAAAGGAAAACAGGAGGGAAGGAAGGAAGGAGAAAAGAGAGGAGGGAAGGAAAAAAGGAAGAAAAACTGGTTCCTTCCCCATCCTGACTTTCCAACTTCCTCTAGCTTGGCTTCTTATGGTAACTTCTTAGTTACCTTTGCAACTTCTCCTCTTATTCCTTTTAAAAGTTTATAAATTAGCTTCTTTTTTGTGTTCCTTTTTCTTTTTTTAGGGATGAAAAAGTTTGAAAAATCATTGTTATTGGTGGTATGGAGCCCTAGAAAAGTTTTATGTTGTTTGTGTTGTATGTACCTATTATACATATATACCATAGTATTTATATATTGCCCAGAGAAAATTCTGGCTAATTTTCTGTGTAGAAAAACACCATGTAACTTTTTTTGTTTATCCAGATAGATCTTCTTTCCTAGAAATTTAGCTAAATCTCTTTCCTGGGTTGCCATTTATATGTATGCATATGTCTATGAATATACACATGCATATATAAAGTTTTATGTACATATGTGTGCATGAGGTGTGTTTATTGAAACATAGTTTTGAATTGCACAACTAATTAATGAATACATTTTCTTTGGTCAATTCCTTCTTCATAAGTTTTATCACACTCATCTCTTTTCCCCTGTCCCTGATGCCACCTCACTAATACAGAGCACATCGCCACAAACCGGAGTCCTCGGATATACCTTTTATTGCTCCTTTTATTCATCATGTGGGTGCCTGCAAGACCAGTTCCTCTAAAGCATCCCCTCATCATTCTCCTTCATAATTGAAGATCCTCTACTAGTTGCCTAATTGTGACCAGATTTTCTAGGTGCCTTCGCAATATTCCTTTATAACCAAATCTCTCTTCACTTTTGGGGGGCAAAGTACCCAGCTACATTTTCCAGCTTATTTTGCAACTAGGACTCTGTGAATTGTATATAGAATTTGTTGGGGGGAATTCTGGTAAGGTCTCCTAAAGAGCAAAAAGAGAGCTGGTAATGGGTGACTTTTTACCACCCTCTTTCCATCTTTCCTGCTGCTTAGAATTTGAGGGCTGGAGTTCCAGCAGCCATCTTGAAGCAAGAGGTAACCTTGATAAATTCATATGCTAAGAACAGACATGCAGAAAGATAGAAAATGCTTGAGTCCCACTCGCTGCCCTAGAGAGAAAAAAAAAAACCTTTATGTATTTATCACTGTATGGTTTTCTATAATGGGCAGGCCCAAAATAGTCAATTCTCTCCACAAATTTATTTTTCCAATCCAGCAAGTGCTGTTGATTAGATTCAATCCACTGCTGCTCTTCTTAAGGCAAGGACTTACAGATAGAAAGATGTGAGTTAAAGCCCAGCCCTGCTGCACAGTGACTGTGAGGTTATTTTAGGCATTGCTCATGACCATTTTATCTTCAGTTTCCTTGTCTGGAAATTGAGAAGAATAATTTACACATTAAAGTGTCTTTTATTTTTCTTTCAATATGTTTTTTAGTTGTTATGAGCTCAATAGCACCAACAAGGAAAATAGCTGGGAGAAGGAAAAGGAAATAAGACTCAAATCAGAGTATTTCTCACTTATTAACAGCCCTTATAAGCAGCTTAGTGGCTGAAAAGGTTCAGGTTGCTGATTTTAAAAAGTCAATGGGAAAAATATCAATAGATTGGGCTTCTATTATTGACATTTTACTCTCACTTTCATTCTATGAATAACAGAAATGTGACTACACAGGTTGTATTTCATAAGACCACTTGACCTATTAAGTAAATAAAAAATACATGCAAACATATATTTCAAGAACGCTGGCTCTAGGAAGTCACTTGCTCCAAGTTACCAAAATGGAGAAGACATAAAATTTATGTCTTGGTACTTTCCATTTGGATGGGCTGACTCTCAATGATTTGAAGAAACAGTTCTTTTCAAATGAACGCAGGCTTGCAAAAGTGACTTTTGGAAAAAGCAAGTTCGGTCAGGCTCTTAGATTGTGCACTTTCATTTCTGCTCTTATGCACATTAGACTGAACTGGTTGGATAAAAATCTCTTGCTAAAGTGAATTTAATTTGATCAGGAAATTTGCATGTCCATGCAGGCAAAGCACAGTAATTTTGCATTAAAAAAGTGTCCTAGTTATTGAAAATGTTCTTATTTTACAAAAGTTTTGCCATAGCTTCATTAGGGAACTAAATTTTTGTCAATGTGTATTCATGTTGTGAATTAAATAGTCCTTGGTCCTTTGTTGGGACATCACTCAAGCAGTAGACACTTTGTCCTTTCTGAAGGGAAGTACGAGCCTTAAAAGCTGGAACATTTGAGTAGCTTCACATCCTTCCTGCACTGGCCCCACAGGATCCTCTCTTGCCATATCCTAGCTCTGCCATTATTCCCTTTAAAAAACATTTCCCTGGCTCTTCCCAGCCCTGGTTTCCCCATCAGGCTCCAGAAGGCAGAGTTGGCCACTGGGTCCTATTGCCCTGGCCTATGTCTTTAGCCGCATTTCAACCAAAATAATTACCTTCCAGGTTACTTGCTTGACTTCTAAAACACACAAATAGAAAAACTTAACTGCAGTTGGTTCAAAGTATGTCAGGGGGAAAAAGTCCTTTTTAGAGGGTCAAAATGCCTTATTGCAAGGATACAGGAACACAGCCACTCATTGGAAAGTATGTGAACTGCGTTGATAGCAAAACCACCAAATCCATCTGTAGCTTATTTTACACGTGTTGACTATGCCTGTCTTCCAACGTCAGTCACCAGAGGTTCTACTCTCCTAAGATACGAGAAGGAACCCTGCATTTCATAGGTTATGAGAAACCATTCAGACCACGTAGCAAAGGATTACAAAATTATGAAGAATTTCCCAGGCATTATCAATAGCACATGTTCAAGCAATGCATGAATCAAGTATTGTACTTGAGATTTTTGTTCCCAGAACTTTCATTAGCATCCTGTAGCCATATCACAGCCTGGAAGACCCCAAAAGGTATTCAGTGATTCTACTGTCTGGAATTCTCTGAGGATATTTTTTCTGGTTTTGGTGGAATTGAGCAAAGAAAGGGTTGGGAAAGCAGCATGGTCTCCCATTTCCTGAAACTTTGTGTAGTGACCCCACTTAATAAATAGTCTACATAGCTTTAAGAGAATTCATTAGTATTTTTAGTATATAAGGATATTCATCAGCGTTTTCATTCATTAAATGCCTAATTTTTCGCTTTATTTTTCCTCTTTGTTTTCATTTTTTAATTGAGGTATAATTTATATACAGTAAAAGGCACAGATGAGTTTTGACAAATGCCATGTAACCACACTTGTATATACAATATTTCCATCGCCCCAGAAAATTTCCTTTTCTCCCTTCCCAGTTAGGCCACCCTTCTCGCTGAGGTAACCACTGTTTTAGATTTCTACCACCATAGATTAGTTGTGCCTTTTCTAGAACTGTATTTTCTAGAAATGAATTCATATTCTAGAAATGAATTAATATAGTGAGAACTCCTTAGTGTCTAATGTCTCATGTTTTAAGCATGTATAAAAATCACCTCTTAGCTTCTGTAAACTGGGGGAACCGCCCTGCACAACGGTGTGCAAATATTCTGAGGAGTGGTAGGTTTCCTGGGAAGGACGAGGGACCCGAGAAGTCACCTAGGCTGGGGGTGGGCGAGGAGGAAACTGAGGAGTGGGCTCTGTGGCACCCTGCTCATCTTCAAACAAAGCAGCTGTACTTTTCCATGTCTTGCAAATTGGGGTTCACGGAAAGATTTCATTTGGGAAAAGGGTTCTTTGTAAAAAAAAAAAGTTAGAGAACCACAGGTCTAGATAATCCTTGCTGATCCCTTTCCTTGAACATTCTATAATTACAAATAGTGTTTTCTGATATGAGAGCTGTGACTGGTCCCCTGGAGAGAAGGCCAGGAGACAGAGGCAGCCAGACTGGGGGCCCCCAGGGAAGGCCTGGGCACTGAGCACTGTAACATTAGTCCTCGTTACAATCAGATAGCGCCACCCCTAACTGAGGCACCTAGACAATAGGCCAGAGGCCCTGGGCCAGGGGAGGCACAAAGGCAGCATTCAAAAGTCCGACTCCCACAGCCAGTGAGCATTTCTATAGACTCCACCAGACCCTGGCCCAGCCAGAATGTCACCTTACAGCCAGAAAAGCCACTTTTTTTTTTCATGGGTAGATTTTAAACTGCTAAAAATAATAAACACAGAAAGGAAAGTGCTGACACAATCTTAACTGCAGAGACAAACTGAAACTGTTACTATAATAATGCAAACAAACTGGGTTCTGAATTTTAAGCTGGCATTGCAGTCAGCACTGCTTGATATTGCCAAACACCTGGAAATGACAGGGAGAATTCCGAGGGCTCGTCAGTCAAGACAGGGGATCCTCACTGCACAGGTGCTTGAGTCCTATCTGATCTGCTCCAACCAATGGGTGATGTAAGTCTCAGGCCTTTCTTTTAACACACAAGAGAGATTGGAGAGAACTGTTGGATCTCCATGCAGCACAATTTTCCCACATAGCAAATGAAAAATGGCTCTTTTCTCTCCCTGTGCTATTATTACTCTTCTTCCCCTTAATGAATTTGTAGCATTCCTTTTCCCCATTATGCTTTTTTTAAAAAGCCCATTTATTGTTTTATATTTCCCTGAATACCTACAAAATTCAAAACTATGTTAAAAACAACAGCAGCCCTGCCACAAAATTAGAAGATAATTACCATACTGCTAAGAAGTGACAATTAATCATAGAGATCACGAATCTGCCAACACCCGAGTCAAGCCTGATATCTGACCTTCTGATCCATTAAATCACGTGCGGAACTTGGCACCCACACAGGACAGCCAGTGGGAGGGAAACCGCAGATCTGGAAAAAAGGAAACACAAGAAAATAAATAGAAGTGCTTTTTTTTAAAAAAAAGTTTCCCAACATTTGTTTAATCTGCCCTTTTTTCTATGTTTAAATAGGGTCTGGTTTCAGAGCTGTCTCTCATTTTGAATAAATGCAAATAGATTTAGATAAAATCTCTTTCCAAAGGGGAGATGGTTTCAGAGAATCCTTTAACACAAGGATCATAGTAACACATTATAGGCATGGGACAGTGCTTGCGGATCCCAAAGACCTACTTTGCTGTGGACAGGACTCAAGAGTTTTAGATTCTCAGCCTCGGGAAATGACTAAAAGACAGAAGTGAATCTAGGCTGTGCTAAAGAGCGTCCAGTTGGGTCTCAGAGGATGTTTTCTGGGATAGGTCTTAACAAATCCCGGCTTCGGCTGTGCTCTGTGGTGAAAGCAGAGGCTGTGCATCGGAGCATGACGCTATGGCGCTGTCTAGACTGTGTTAAGTGCAATTATGTTGGGGACACTTCACACAGGTATAAACTGATGAAAGAGATGGCCAAACACACAGTGCAACAGACAATGTCTCCAAGCGTCTAGACATGTGAGAAGCTGCTCTTCAACTAACTGTGGTCCCCAAATTTTTGCTGTTAGAGTATGGAATTGAGCAATCATAGAAAAAACAGAGGTTAGCAGAACAATGGCTGGGTTCCCACTACTCAGAATGGATCACTGATAAAATTTTTTCACATCTGTTCTTTCTTTTTAATAAAAAAAAAAAAATAGAGCATAGGTATAATCTCCTTAACAAACCCACTTCAAGGCCGGAACACAAATTTGTTTGCATCTTTGCAGTCTACCTTTTTAAACATTCATGTGCAATACGTGTATCCAGAACAATGCACAATGTTGTGTGTGTTTCAATTTACCTGTATGATATGCATCTATGCACATGTGTTTATCCCTCTGCCTTTTTGACTCAGCACTGGGAATGTGAGAGCTAACCCTGTGGCTCTCTAGCTCATCCTTTTGGCTGCCACATGGAATAAATAACATGCTCATTTTCTTTTCATCCAACACCCAACATTTATGGCACCATAAAAGCACTTGTTATGTCATTCAAGTGATTGTTGCTTGTGTGTGGGTGTGCGTATGTATGTGTGTAGGGGTACATTTTCTCCGCCTCAACTCTGAGCTTCTCAGAATGTTGCCTTGTCTTAACAGGGGCTCTTTTGCACGGTGACTCCATGCAGAATCAACATTCAGTGTGTCAGGAGGCAAAATGTATTTGCTCAAAATTGATGTACTTATTATTAATTTTCCTTCCTTTTAAAGCAACATTAAGGGAGACTTTGGGGCTATATTTATATATTTTCTTCAAAGTCTCTCTCCACTGCTCTTCTCATGTATCTTCAAGTCCCGAGCCATTAATACTACCTTGCTGTTTGTTAGACACTCAGTAACTGTGATAGTGTGAGGCCAAAATAAAGACATTTAAGACAGGTATTCTAAAAGCATTCTCAAAGACTGACTTGACAGGGCCAAGAGGAAGCTTGTGTTTGTAACTGTTGTGGCTTTATGGAGAATATGAGTAAGTATGTATTACTACAGTTGACATTAATATTTAAAAACAAAAAGTGCCTTTTGTATAAAAACAATTTTGGACCACAATTTATTTTTTGAGAATATAAGAAGAATATGTGGGAACCTGACTCAGGTCATATAAACAACTCACAAGTTCTCATATAATGATTAATAATAATAAACATTTATATATAGAGGGTCTGACACAAATAACATCTCTTTTCTTACATAAAAATCTTTTATTACAAAATCATAAGCATGTAATTCTGTAACATAACAATATCACACTCAAGCACACTGCGTGACATTTTAGGTGAAATGTTTAAGTTGCTGTCCATCTTGTGAGAGACATTCACGTACCCTACCAATGACACTCAATGGCGTTACTTCTGCTGGACCCTGTATAACATTTACTAAGCACATTGTATGGGCTGGATTATGCAATATCCTTTCACCTAATTTCACTAAATTTAATCCTCAAAATGATCATATAGGTAGATATTATTCATAACCCCATTTTTCAGATGAGGAAAGGAGAGGTGGAAAAAGATTTAAAGTTTTGCCGAAGGTCAAACGGTGAAGAAGAGGCTAGCCAGGACTCTCACTTAGGCAGGAGGGTGTCACAGAACTTGCTCTGAATCTCTGAGAACAGGCTCAGGTTCTAAAGATAAAACTACAGAGAAGGAAATAGAAAAAACAGTGTCACTGAGGTGGCTTCCAAATTTCACTATGATATAACCAGACAGCATCTCTTTCATGGTGTGCCCCAAACCATGAACAAACCAAACTGGAGTACTCCAAGTAGTTAAATTCAAAGTGACTTCTTAGCGATGAAGGAAATCTGAGGTAGCAAGGTCAAGTCCCAGACCCTTCCAACCTAAATATACTCATTTTTAATCTTCTCTTTAGAAAACAGGGAGCTGTGCATTTGCGCATGGCTCAAAGGCAGGCACCCAGTTTGTAGACACAAGATTCAAAGCAAAAATGAGACTCACTCCCTGGGACAACTTTAGCCCAGAGTGTGTGTTCTTTACACATTTTTAATTGGGGCACAAATATATTAACTGTGGTTATTTTGTACTTTCAAAAGAATCTGTTTTTTAACTGATTCATATTTATATTTGGAATACATCTATTTCTGGGCATGAAACAGTTCATTTTGTTAAGCCATCTGACCTGAGGTGAGGTTGGCACAATTGCCAGGACTGTTCCCAATTAATGCTAATTGAAGGTTAAAGGATAAATAAAGTCCCCCTAACTTGGTTTACTAATATGTTATTTATAAATGGCTGTTGGTTTATTTTTTAAAATCCAGTAACTATGTACAAATGAACAGTATGGAACAAATTAGCAAACACATAATGTGTATTTTATTGCAAAGTTTCCATTTTAAAGGGTTTACTATTATGGAAAAAATAATGTCATCTATTGTCTGACTGTCTGTATCTATCTATCTATCTATCTATCTATCTATCTATCTATCTATCTATCATCTCTATTATCACAGGTCTCTTTAAATCTTATGGAGCCTGAGACAGACTGACTGCCTTGCATTAATTGCCCACATTCTTCACCCCTCCCTGTACCTACTCTTTTGTCATGCATCTTTGTCATTCTTCTCACTAAAGAAGTTGGGTCTCTTTTCCTGCCCTTTTGATTCTGATTTTGTCCAAGTGACTAGCTTTGGCCAATGAAATGTTAGCAGGTAGGCTGCATGCAGAGGTTTGAAAAAAGTTTTGTTATGTTTAAATGTTTTCTTTTGCTTCTCTGTGATTGTCATGAGAACATCCTTGGGCTAGCCTGCCTTGGTTGATAAACATGGAGTGGAGTTAACTCAGTTGTCTCTGCCAGGGCCATCCTAGATCAGCCTTGACCAGCCACCAAGCCACATATGTGTGAGAGAGACCAGGCACGATGAGCAGAGCCACTTAGTCGACTTGTAGCTGGCCACAGATGCATGAGTGGGCCCAGCACAAAGTGGAAGAACCACCCAGTCTACCCTCAGACTCATGAACTTATAAATGCCAATTGTTTCAAACTATTGAGATTTGAGGTAATTTGTTACTATGCCAGGTAATGCTATGGTGCACTAGACGTGATGTAATGTAATGCTATTGTGCGCTAGGGCCTACCCTAGTGCACTCAGAAAAGAGATGTCCACATAGAAGATGGTTTAAAATTAGGTAATACAATTCAGCAAATATCCATGAAATACTGGCTGCATCAGCCAAGGTTCAACCAGGAAAATATAAACTGGTTGAAGTATTCAAACAGAAGGAGTATAATGCAAAGCATTGATTACACAGGTGAAGAAAAAGATGTGAAGGCAAATGGGAAAATGAGGCATCCAGCAACTCAGGAATTGCAAGAAATTCCTGAGCTACAGGGACAAAGAATGGAAATATTGATGGTGGAGCCCTGAAACCAGGGTCAACCAGCAGAAGCTGAAGGCTCGAAGGTCCTCTCATGCAGGAGCTGAGGTCCGAGAGGAGACACAGTTGCCATCAGAGACACTGTCTCAGGCAGAGAGTGTTGGGAAGAAATATCCTGGCTTCTCCCTTCCTTTAGGCTTCCACTCACCCTCTAGCTTTCCACTAGCTGAACCCAGAGAAGGCCACCTGACTCCGGAGCCTGGACAGCACAACCCTCAGTGAGCAGCCTCTCTGTAATACAAGGGACGGGTGAGAAAAAGATCTGAGGGGCAACAGGCAAATGCACTGCCATGATGTGCAAGATATTATACATGGTGTGACTCAGTGCTGAGAGCTACATCCACAAAAGCAATGGGAATCAGAATAGACACTGGGCTTGAAGGTTAGACGGCAGCAGCACCTGTAGGAGCAAAGTGAAGGAACTATTGGGGAAACAGCAATATTCTGGTCTGGCTTAGAAGGTTGCATATTTGGGACATGGGAGTAATGGGGCTACAAAGATGAGTGCTTGAAAGAGTTTCGATTCCAATCCAAGCAGATTGGACTGCTGTTCTGAAGGCAACAGGAAATGAAATGGTTTTGAGCAGAGAGTAATATGATCCAAATTGGATGTTAAGGTTATGACTCCAATAGAAATTTGAGGGGTAGATGGAGGGAGACAACCAGCCTAGGGATTTTTAATCAAGAGTAGATCTCAGGGAATTCCCAGCACTTCTGGACAAACTGGCAGGAGTTTGCATAAGCATTCGGTTTTCTGAGAGATGGTACATAGCTTTCACATGGTTTTCAGTGGAGTCCATGACCTTGGATCCTATCAAAATTGTTAGTGCTGCAAATGTAACAGTAGCAATGGGAATGGAAAGGAATAAACAGATATAAACATTTTATGAGGCACTATCTAAACAAATAGTTTAGATGCATGTGAACAGAAACAAGCAAGAGCAAGAGATTACTAAAAGGTTTAACTTTGGACTACATTCACCTGCTCATCCTTCCCCTCTACCTATAAAA